ATCCCAATCCTTGTTCCCTTCAGTTTCCTGGCGTTTCGGCGGATTTTCTCTCGATCCGGGAAAAAATTAAATTTGGCAACAATAGCTCTCGGCTTCCTACGACTATCGCGTTTTCTGCCAACTCTATGCGCACGGTCGATTTTAATATTTTGACGCGCGTCTGGCATATCCAATTTCTCCTCTAACAAGCTATAGATTACCTCAGCGCAATCTTCTTCGTCGGATTCCTCGATGTTGTGGAACAGTAGGTTGTCCCGCATTGATCTTGCTTTAAGGTCGACCACGGTTTCTTGAAGCCTCTTGTTTGACTCTTCGAGTTCCCCAATCCTCGTCACGTTTTTTTCTTCCGTTTTTTTTCTCTGTTTCATCTCCTCCTTGATATTAGCGATTTCTGCGTGAGCAAACTCCATGGACTTAGTCAGGCTCTTCACGTTTTGCTCGACAGATAAAATGCGCTCGTTGATCAAGTCGAGCGTCTCCAATTTCACCATAACAGATTTCATCATGGTGTATAACTCGTCGATTTTGCTAATTTCTTCTGGGTTTTCAGATGTCATTGCTTTCTTAGATGTCTTAGGTGTCTTATTTTCTGAATTACTTACTTTGTTAGGCGTATTATGGGCAGATTTAGCAAATTCTTGCGTGCTGCCTCTCGAAGGTTGTTGTCTCTTCGACATGATATATGATATGAAAGAGCTGCAAGACCTCGACATAATTGAAAATGTCGATGGTTCCACTCCTTGGGTGTCTCCATTAGTGGCAATTCCAAAGTCAAATGGAGATATCCGAGTCTGCGTTGACATGCGCCGTGTCAACGAGGCCATTCTTCGTGAACGCCATCCAATACCAACCTTTGAGGAAACTCTGCAGGACCTTAATGGGCCACCGTTTTTTTCAAAACTGGATCTACGCTGGGGGTATCATCAAGTTGACTGGTATCCAGATTCTCGAGTTTTAACCACCTTTTCCACGCACATGGGGCTCAAGCGATACAAACACCTGATATTTGGACTTGAATGACTTAGATTCTTGCACTTCACTTGGCGGAATTAATATTAGGATGTTAGGGTTTGTACTCCAAGTGAGAATATATACATTTTAAGACCTAAACAGGAACGACTGCGAAAAATGCAGCACAAGGTCCTCTGGTAGGAATTGAACCCACGGCCCTACGATTCCGATGCAGCGCTCTAACCAACTGAGCTACAGAGGCCAACTGTTGAGCTGTAACCGTAAGTTCATGTATATATAGATAATCGAGTGTGTGGGTTGTGATAAGGTGGACTTGAATGACTTAGATTCTTGCACTTTACTTGGTGGAATTAATATTAGGATGTTAGGGTTTGTAATCCAAGTGAGAATATATACATTTTAAGGTCTTAAAATGTATATATTCTCACTTGGATTACAAACCCTAACATCCTGATATTTGGACTGTCGTCGGCTTCAGAAATACCAATACGTCATTCAGAAAGTCTTGCAAGGTATTCCTGGTGCACGTAATATCTCCGATGATATTAAAATATTCGGCAAAGATCAAGCAAGTCATAACCAGCAGCTCGAGCTCCCACTTGCTCGTCTCGTCGAGAGAGGTTTGACACTCAACTGGGAGAAATGTGTTTTCAGTGTTCCAGAGGTTGTGTTTTTTGGGCATAAAGTTTCTGCAGCTGGAATTTCTCCAGATGAAAAGAAAGTGGATGCTGTCAAACAAGCTCGTCCATCACAAACCGTTTCTGAGCTGAGAAGTTTCCTTGGCCTTGCAAATTACTGTGCCCTTTTGGTCTGGGAGCTGTCCTGTTGCAAGGAAGTGGAGATGACATTCATCCCGTTGCATATGCAAGTCGTATCCTCTCTGATGTGGAGCGGCGGTATTCACAGACGGAGGGAGAAGCCCTCGCAGTCGTTTGGGCGTGTGAGCGGTTTCATATTTACCTATACGGTGAAGAGTTTAAACTGTACACTGATCACAAAGTAGTGGAGGTAATCTATAGTCCGAGATCCAAACTTCGAATTGAAAGATGGTCCCTTGGTCTCCAGCCATACAGATTCACCATACATCACATGCCTGGGCAACAGATTCCTGCCGACGTATTATCGCGGATGCCACTGACTAACCAACCATTCCGAGAAAGAAACATTGCGGACAGGGGCGGATCCAGACCGATGCCAGCGATGCGAATGCATCGATCAAAATTGAGAAATCATGATTCATGTTGCTTGAAATATATAGATATATAATGTCGCCAATAGTCAAAGCACTCAGTAATAAAATATCTCCTATCAACCTGCAAACCTTTGCTTAAAATTGACTCCATGCCAGGAATACACTATTTAGGATGAAATCCAATTTAAATAGTCTCAATAACAGTGGAAATTGTCAAAATAAGTCCAATATACGACGTTGCGATCGCAAATGTGTACTTTCTGTTATTTTGCGACACTTAAGCGTCAATATTTTCGCGACAAAATATGTTATTTTTTACCGCATCCTTGACGTCGCAGTTGAAGCAAAATGCATCACCTACGTCACGTTAGATTCGATTGGCATCCATTTTGCATCAGTGAATGCATCGGTCCCGAGTCCTTTTCCACGTAATCTAAGGGACCGGTCATTATTTATGGCGGGGGGTGGCACCGAAGAGAAATGTTTTCCGTAGCAAAAATTTTGCTGACCCAACCATTAAAAAGTAAAAAAAATTGATTACCCAACCTCAAATATCAATTAAAAAATAAATACCCACCCCTGGCCAAAAAATTTACAAAAGGTACCATTCAGTTGTCACATATGTCCTTTACCACTTCTGTGACATAAGTTTGATAACGGTTGTGAAATTTTCTGCAGTCTGAAGTTTCATGTTGTCTGCACATGTAGCTACTTTCTTTGGAGATCCCATCGGAAATTGATCAAGATAGCGACTCTGATTGATATATACTTTTCGTTGTTTCTTTACACATTTAGTAAATCTTACTATAACACCAAGTTCATCAATTGCTGCTATTTTGCTAGCAAATCCATGTATAATAAACCCGGGTGTTTTGAATCAAAAGTGATGCAACCTGGATAGTGGAATAAGTTGACTACTGTAGGCACAGTTTTTGGCCACTTAAGAGCGGTTGTCTGTAATAGTCAGGTAAGACGTGTAAAATGAAAAAATTCAAAATCTTTCAAACTTTGTCAGAATGTAGGCCTATATGAAGTATTACTGTTGTGAAAGTTTTATTTCGATCCGATAAATATTGAAGGAGAGAGACGTCGAAATTGGTTTTCCCAGGCCACTTTCGATTTTTAGAGGTCATTTTACGGCACTTCCAAAATCACTCTATTTTGCGCGTTAATGGGAATATTTCACAAAACATGATTTCGTTTTATAAATTAGAGATATTTATTGATTAGCAGACAAAATTTAGAGACATTTCTGTAAAAAGTGAATATTTTACAGATTTTCTTAATGTTTTTTTATTTTCGAACCTCTTTATTATATGCCATATTAGGCAGCGAATATCTCCATTGTTACATCGATTCATACAAAAAAATCATAACCAGATAAAAGAAACATGTTTTCTCTTGCTATTAATCAAATAAAATTTTTGGGCAACTTAGAATTGAATTTTTGACGAAATTTTTCGTAACCCCTATTTGACCCGAATAACCGTATGTTATGTAATCAACGTCGAGTCATGTAGTTCTATAAATAACCAAAGAGCTCGTCA